CGCGGAACAGACAACGCAGACGTATCTGAAAGTCAACAGTGATGGCGTCCCGTGGACCTTCAACAACTCCAAAATCTGCGTCGCGCCACTGTATAAATTTGCGAGCCAAGACAAAGAGAATGAGGAAGAGGAGGAAGACGTTGGAGATAATCCTTGGTTCGAGGATGAGCCAACGAAGATCTCTCTGGGCAAAAGCTTGCCATTACATGCGCCCTCGGATCCTCACGAGCAACTGACCGCCCATCGCTTCAAGGGTGCTCGCTCAAACAGCAATGAGTACCAAAATATGTCCGCGCCTGGCTCTCCCGACGAGTTGAATGAGCTGTATTCCTCAGGTGTACCGAGATCCAGCTTCCTAGGCTCCCGAGACCATCCGCTTCGCCGGTTGGAAGAACATCGGAAAGCTCAGTTGAGTGTGACCAGCTCACAAGGCTATGGGACTGCGCAATCTAGTCTAGCGAGCTACGTCACGGCCACAAGTGGCTCTCGTACAGCGTCAGGCACATCAACAGGACATGCTATTAAACGAATCGGGGAATCAGCTACAAGGTCACAAGCTCGTACCACTATTTTCCTGACTTGGCCAGAAATTGTGAACAAAATCGTCACTCAGGTGCAATGGACCTTCTTCCCCATGGCAAGACTTCCTCCCGATTTTGATATGGAAGCATTTCGATCCTACGTTTCGGAAGTGACCCTACCATTCAGCCTCCCTCACAGCTCGACTCAGTACGATGTAGCTTCGCCGGATGAGGTGATCAATCGAATCCTCGCGTTTATGATGCCTTTTCTCGGCACGTTGCCACCCGAAGACATGGCTAGAAAGCAAAATATTTTCAGAGCTGGTATGTTGACCAAGCTGCGTCAGCATACAATCATTCATGATGGGCGATATAAGACAAATGTCGGCAAAGCATTCACGAGTGAATGGTTGAACTATCTTGACGCACGAGGCATACTGCTTGATCCAAAAGACGAACTCGACTGGTCCGGTCGTGGGCAACATGTGGAGTACGAAACCACAGAAGAGAGCTCTATACCTCTATCAACCGATTCAATACTGGGTTACAGTGCCTCTGCGATCGTTGATAGCGTCAAATGCCGCAGAATCATGTTGGCTCGAAAGAAGATTCGCTGTCGCGGCCGCTTGACCAAGAGGGAAGCAATCAAAGAGGTGGAGCATTTGCAACAGCTACAGCATATGCACATTGTGCGAGTCGTTGGTACATATACCTGCGGTAAGGATTTGGCCATTCTTATCTATCCAGCCGCACGGTGGAACTTAGAGGAGTATCTAGAGTCTATCGAGGACGAAGGGAAACGGCTCAAAACGGATGTGACAAGGGACCTATTGCTCCCATGGATCCAGGGGAATCGTCGGAAAGCTCTGCTTCAATTTGTTGGCTGCCTGTCCCACGCCATGGCTTTCATACACGGCAAGAACATCAAACACATGGATATCAAGCCTTCGAATTGCTTAATACAACAACAAGATGCCCTCCAGTACAGAATTTATATCGCAGACTTTGGAATAGCACGAGCATACAAAAGCCACGAAGAAAGTGAGACCGATTCTCCAATGTCATTCACCCGAACCTACGCGGCACCAGAAGTAGTACTCCAAGAAACCAGAGGCTTCAGCGCCGATATTTTCTCCCTAGGTTGCGTGTACGTGGAAACGCTTGCCACGATATTCGATGAACGTCATGTTCTCCATGATAAACGACTTGCAAGAGCAGATACAACGTATCAAGCCAACACTATCGCGGTGACCGAATGGTGTAAGAGAACGTTGCCAAATCCTAGATACAAGTGTCACAATACCGGCGAAGTAATTCAAATTCCGCGCCACATCATCCATCGCATCGTGGAAATGCTCCATCTCGACCCAAGCGCGCGGCCTTCAGCCCAAACACTCAAGGAAGAAACCGCCTATCTCAGCTGTACCAAATGCGACGCCGGTCCGGAACCATTCAAAGCTGCACACTAGACCAGCTTTAGCGCTCACTTCGAAGTCTGATTGTACGAAGCAGCTCGTATTTTCACATGCCCTCCAACACCAAATGATGCATTTTCATGCTAAACGGGCAAGTATACGCAACAACCTTGGCAAGAGAATGCTGCCGTAAGCTCTACGGCATCCCAAGAGCTCGGTCGCCAGGCCAATTGTTACGGTTGTGCGCCCATGGGTGTGTTCTGTCAATATCCATAGCCGGTGTTTCTGGATATAGTGATTGAAGAGCTCCTTCGTATTGTAGACGCAACCTTCGTTGCGACATTGAAGCTATTCATAGCTGCTGATCAACGAGGTTTGATTTTTTCCAACCATGCGGGATTAGTTTTTATCATTGGGCAAGAGGATGATGACGTCCTTTACTCACGGAGCAAAAGACGCGAAAACATGCCTACGACTCAGATATTGGGACGCCTGAATCGTCTCCCGTACACGCTGGACTATATGCTCCCATGATAGAGGCATAATGAAGTGTTGTATCTTAAAATCCTGAAAGCTAACATTCGTTTGATAAAATCGATGTCTTGTGGGTCCTGTCGCGATTGGGCTGGCGTAATGTTCGGCTCCAGGTGTTCACACATGGTGATTGTCCGCGGTTTTTGGTATATCACGAACTCGAGATACACTCCTGTTAGCTGACTTTATACTGAGGCCTGACTATAACTTTCATTTCATCAAACGCCGTCGCTTGGAGGCGTGTGCGGCACTCGTTCGGCTGTTGGGTCACAACCACATTCCTCAGTTCAGCCATCGACGACCCAGCCACACCGCATTCCGTCCCGCCTCAACCAACGAAGTCAAGGATTCGTCATGGGTAGTTCAGTCTGCTTGGGATTAGGTTAAGAAGCAGATTCATTGCGTCTTATCCAACACTGCACCACTTCACATTCTAAATATCAACCTCTTCGTGAATATCATTCCATCTGTTCAAATGTTATTTCGTCGCAACAACCCAACACCAGTCGCAGTACCAGTTGCTCTGATTGCACCCACAAAAGACAAAGACGCATCACAAAAGAACCAATTCGCGTTCAATCCATTCGCACGAGCTCCCAAGACCGTAGAAGAGGTCCTGTCAATTTCCGCGCAACTTCCAATCGCTGCTTCAGATCGATCTGGCAGTCCGAACAAAAACTACAGTTTCGCTACTCCAGTACATGCACGTCGTCCGCGAAGAGAACCTAGTAGCAGGAAGACGGGTCATGCTACGATACACACCGATGCCACGGCCGAGCATGAGGCTTTCGAGAGCGATGCATTCGCAGTCCATATGCCAACTACTCGGTTACCAATCATCGACAAGCCAATCTCTCCAATCAAGATATCCCCTGCCGCACAAGCTGAAGCTTTCCAAACTTACAAGGAGAAAGCTCGCCAGGTCCGCGAAAGGAACAACAGCACGGGAGTAAAAGTACCGTCCAAAATTGTATCTTACGATTGTGCGTCTCCCAAGGTGGCCGACCGAACGACACCAACAGTCAAACCAGCCAGTCCTCCTCTTACCTCTCCCAGGCCTGCAGGGTCTTTTCCCATCAGTCCACCACTTCCCCAAAGCTCTTGGACACGACCTGAAAGAGTGGATCATTTCCAGACTCCGTCGCGGATCATAGGCCAGCCCCGTCGACTGTACACGCCGCGCAAGCCATTGGGACCCAATAACCATTTCGCATCCCTCGAGACAAGATCCGACAACCGTAACGACTCTGGAGCTGGTGCTTCGCGATCCACGCCCTCTCCAACACAGCCCGCATCCATCCGAGTACGTATCAAGCCAAGGGTTGTCATCCCAGAAGCACAGCGCGTACAAGTGGAGGCGGCATACCATCTCTACACTCAGCAATCGCCAACGGTACCACCTCCTGCATCTCGCTCTCCAAGTCCAGTGAAGTCGATGCCAAATTTCACACGTCAGAATTCAGTAGAGGGAGACTCACTTTTCGGATATCAAAGCCGCGATTCTGCTCGGACAAGAGCAGGCGCAGGGTCCTCATCTTCCGGCAGCGACAAGGAGAAGGAAAAATCCAAGACAGCGAAGAAGCCGGACAATGCAGACAAGAAGTCAACAAAACGGACGCTAGAATCTCGATGGCCATGGCTTCGAGCCGCAGAACCACGCGTTGCCAAACCGGCTCTCACACCCGTGGTCATGTCGAACATCACACCACGGACTGTACCGACCCTAGTGACAGCCGCGCCGAGAACATCGACATATATCAGTCCTTTTGACCGTCATGCGACTCCACCACTTCCCACATCTCTTTGCAGTCCGGTTCGCAGTCGTCCTGCCTCTCCACGCAAGACACTTCACACCGCATCTACAATCCCGCAAGGCAAATTTGAGACAGGCTTCGCGCAAATCAAACATCTCACATATCTGCTTTGCAAGATTGGCCTCGCCATCTATGCTATCATCGCGTTGTGGTATGTGCTTGATGCCGTGCGCGAGGCGTTTCTTACTATTAGTGCGCCGTTCCGGTTGATTAGGTATTTGGGTGGGTTTGCGTGGCTGGGCGTAATATGGCTGGCAAGCTTGGCGGTGAAGATGTGGGAGAGGTGGGGTTTTAGGGTTGCGTTGAAAGGGGGGTGGATGTGGAAGATGAGGTGGTGATTGTATGGGGTGGTGGATTGGGTGTGCGCAGTAGTCAGGGGAGAAGTTATGTACCTGAACGCAACGGTACATCTGTATCGTGAATTTGTAGATTAGTAGGATCGTTTTAGATGATTTTTTTGTAAATGAGGATGAGTGTATCAATTCCATGTCGACGTTGAAGTTCCGCCGCCCACCCTTCCTATTCGTGCCCCACCACTCACGGCGTGCCCCTCGCTTCGTCATCCGTCGTAACGTCTTTAGGCTGGTGTGCTTACAGGCGAGAACCGAGATACCCACACTCCAACCCCATCAGCCAGCCACTCAATCATTCGCTTTATAAATGCACAAAATACAACTCCGTCCACCTCAAGATCAAGCGCAACTTCGGTTGCACAACTCCGCTTGGTGTAGTTGGTTTGTATGTCTATCCCACTCTTCTCCTATAATAACTCATCACTAACACTCTCTCAGATCACGTTCGACTGTAATAGCAATTGTTATCGAAAGGTCCCTAGTTCGATTCTGGGAGCGGAGAAACCATTTTTTTGCGTTTGAGGCTGCCTTGAAACAAAGGATCAATGGTTGTGGTGCGGTGTGGGGGGATTTTTTTGGGAGAATGGCGCTCGCGCGTACATGAGAGAGAGAGAGAGTTGGGGCGCCATATTGTAGGATGTGATAACGCGACGCTAGATTTTTTAAAAATTGTAGGGCACGGTCTGTGGTATATATTAAGCTTTTTGGTACAAGGGCTGGCTAGGATTATGTATCATCAGTGGTCATGTTGTAGTGCCTTAAAAATGGCAGGCTTGGGATTCGCGACGAGAAAACTTCGCCTTTTTGCGTACTACATGGATGACTATTGCTCTACTAACGCAAACCCATCGTTAGATCCTGCGATTACATCTAATTGCTTAGATGCCATGCCTTGAATAATTTCTACACAATTCTTAGATCTCGTGCTGTACACTACGGTTGCAAGCATTTCATTAGTTTCGATCTTACGCCTCGTGGCTGCAAGGTTAAAATTCAGCAGTGTAGAGTAACTCTTACGGTCTATATATGTTCGCTGTAAGCAATAAGAATAGCCTACTTTTTGTTTTAAGAGCGACCTCTTGCTGTTCACCTACCTCTAAAGTAAACTGAAAGATATAACAAGGCTTACTCGCGAACTCTACGGAGTGTTGAGTAGCTTCTAAGTGAGCGTTTTATATTGTCTTATTCTTGCTACTCTAGAGGTTGAAATTTGAGGTCTTAGGACGAAATTGGGATTTCACAATGCGACGTAGTAGCACTGCAGCACAACGGCTACTAGCATTGCATACAATGTAGACCTTTTATGTGTTGTAATTGCTAAAAAGATAACTGAACATTTATGACCACCATAGCATATTAATTTGCGACTTTAGTAGACTACTACTTTAGCTTTGAAACTATGGAAATGTGTACTGCACTTTATATAGTTGCGCTGGAGCTGTACCTCTCACAGTCTGACAAGAGCGTGGTGGGGCAAGATCTGGACCGAGGTCGGGAGTATGGCTTCGCTTGCATATGCAATTTGCGAATTTGACAGCCTCGAATAAGTGGGGCAATGTCGAACAGCAGAACACTTCGTAGTCAGGTTGTGGTCGCCGCAGTCTAGGAATTTTGCTACAATATATTTATATTACTACTGAATTCTTCCATCGAACCAATCAGGCCCGATGGCGCAATGGTAGCGCGTCAGATTCCAGTTCACATGAATCTAGAAACCTGAAGGTTGGGTGTTCAAATCACTCTCGGGTCATTGACCATTATCTTTTTGAAGCTTTTTTGGCCTTGGAACCAGCCAGCATCATGCGCATATCCTTTTGCTTCAAACTAATCAGAAGTTTTCTTGGCTATTGCATTGCTCTTGAGTATTGTTACGTGTCTTGGTATAGCGCGACATTGCTGAGGCCAGAGAGGGTTCTTAGGTCATTTTTTGTGTGTGTAATGGTATGTATGATGGTCTACGTGCTAGCCAAACGATCCAAAGACAACTGCCTGGCCAGAAGCATTGTCTTCTTGGACCATAGATTCCTCAAGTGTGAACAAAATATGGGACGTACGGATTACAAGCTCTATGTCTAGAATCAGTTCAGAATCAGATAATCACAAGTGCGCCTTGCACTCACCAACAAACTCGATCTCGTAGCTCACAGGCATGTCCTCGTCGTTCCTGATAAGAATCGGGGCATCTCTTCGCAGTTTCCTCTCCCTTGTAATAATACGTAGGCCAGTATTTTTCGCCGGACTGACCCATAAGATCCGTGGATCTTGCATATCTGCTCTATCCTTTGCTGCCTCTTCTGCAATTGCCTTACCTTTGCCCTTCACGTCACTCGATTGGTCCGCGACATTTGTGAGGACTTGACCGCTCGCCGCAATGTCTCTAAGCCACTCTCTCCAGACCCGTAGAACACCCTCCTCAACGCCCACAAAGGCAGTGAAGAGACCAGTACGTGAACCAATCTTGACAAGGTTTGTCTGGGCCACTAGCTGAGTGAATAGCTCATGGGCCTCCAGGTTAAGAGTCTGCTTGACACTATCGCCATTGCCTTTATCCTGAACTGTCCCAGGAAAGGTGCGGCTCCCTGGTATGTCACCTGGGCGTGGTAGAACCCGTCTCCCGCCAGCTTCGAGATCGCGTCGGTGTGGGCGGAAGCGCGAGTACATGTTGTACATTTGCCCCAATCGACCAGCATCACATTGCGACGATCCAGCCTCATCATATTGTATCAAATCATCAGTGCCACGGTATGCGCAAAAGTATGGGGGCTCGGTAAGCTTCGCAGAGGGGTGGTAACACTCGAGAAGCAGGGTATGATCATGTAGCTCGGAAGCAGCGACTAGTCGATTGTGAAGGATACGTATGATGAGGCTGTATATACGCCGCGATATCGAGGTATATGACAGAAGCTCAGGAGTTGGGCAGGTGGCCAAGACGTGCAAGAGCAGCTACAATAGTTAGCCATGACAGGCCGAAATGGTCACCCCAGCGTAGAGTACATACCTCGTTTGGAAGCCGGTAGAGATAGCATTCACTCATCCTGGGGGCATGAGCTATCTAAAGAGCTCTCGGGATTTGGTCTTTATGACTCAAGAGTGAGTGCTGCTGTTTCCGAGTGAACAAGAGCCACCATCAATGGAGATAAGATATCGTCATCGCGGCGCTAAGCCGAGGTCGCGTCCCAAAAGCGTTAGTGTTAAACAAGGGCGCGCTTTCCCATTCGCGACAACAATTTCACCTTCACCTCTCACCTCACTACCGTCGGTCGTTCCGCGTGCGCTGAATGCAAGGATCTGCACGCGTACTCGCGGGTATAGTACGATGTCTAACCTCAATGGTTTTGTCAACCGTCATCGGGACAATAGTCCAGCACAGACTAACCACAACTTTACACGACGAGCTATAGGTGCGAACGCCAAGGTGAGTGTCAAGGACAGCAGTGCTGCTCAGAAACACCAACCTCAACCTCAGCCTCAGCCGCAGGCTGGCCTTCCTTCGCGCGGATTCGGCAATGTTCAGAATAGTTCGGCGACTATGCAGCAACGACAACAAGGACACAAGCGTGACCTCCAGGGCGATGTCTACGACACCGATGCAGAAAGTCTGGATACCACAGTAAATCCGTCCATTGTCAAAGATGACACCAATCGAGCAGAACGTCTCCCACACGAGCCACAGGAACAGACAGCTGATCACTTTCAGAGCTCCGACAGCGACGGAGTCGAATCCGAGGATCCCGCTGCATATGAGGACAGGCCTTTCAATGAAGGAGAACTCGATATTTTACGAGGCCACGACATGTTGAACGTGTCGTATGAACGCCAGGTGCAGTTTTTGCAGTCGGTCGACCCCCGACAGGGGTTCCGAACAGTGGATGGTGACTCCTACCCGTCTACTACCGATGGCCAGCCTACCCAATGGGAAGAGCAACCTCCTCCATCTGAGGACTATGCCCCAGATGAAGCAGTGGCACCTGCCCGGCTAGCAGTGAAGGTTCCAGTCTCTCGCCCCGTTTCTCAACAAGCTCAGCAGTACGGACAGCTTTCAACTACAGTCGGACATGGACAAAAGCCGTCAGACCTCTTTCACCAGGGACAACGCATTCGTGCCCATCAACGCACTGTCCCACAGGTCAGCCAACGTATCACGTCACACGCCCAACCCAATGCCGCCCCATTACCCTCTAGCCAAGCGCCAACTTACAGTCAAGCGAATGTTCAAACGGCTTCTGCCATTCCCATTCAGCTTAATGGCAGACTGGCTGCATACGGTCAGAACGGTCAAGCTTCTCAGCCAGTGAAGCGGACGCTCTCTAACCCTCACCGTATGCAACTCCCGAGGGTGCAGCCAATGGCGCCGCCTGTACCTGCTAATGGTAGAGCAGTGTCTGGGACTCTGCGCCGGCCTATTGAGGACGAAATAGCGTCCGAGGCTTCTGACAGGCCCAATGAAGATTACAATCACGAAAAACTCTTCGCCATGAGCTATGACGACTTGAAGTCGGAAATTTTCGACTTGGATCCACGATCTAAGCCCCCATTGCTTGGCGAAGATATTCTTCAGAAGTCATTGGTCGAGCGCCTGGAGTACGTGCAGAAGAACTTGGATGGAGGAAGACAATCAGAGTTCTTCTCGTCGTTGCCAACAACGGAATGGGAAGATGCAGGTGACTGGTTCCTGGAGAAGTTTCAGAGCATCATCCAACGAACAAGGGAAGCGAGGCAGACCAAGCGAAAGCTGGCTCAAGGGTTCGAGGACGAAGTCGAAAAGCGTTACAAGCATGTTTCGAAGAAGCAGCACCAGGTGGAAGGCGCAATGGACAAGATGAAGCAGCAAGGTGAAGGCCTAGTGCCGAAGAGCCCCAAACCTTCCAAGAGCCCGCGGCCAAGGAAGCATGGGCATGCGTAGTATTCAGGATGATGTATGCGCATCTACGCAAGCGTGCAAAACAATGCACACCAGGAAAACTTCAAAGACACGGCAAGGAGGAGGCTAAGGAGCTTGCATGAGCGACGCTGATTTGCTTTATTGCGTACAAGATACCCCATACTGCGAGCATATGTACTACTTGCGTGCAAAGATCACTCTGTGCTAGTACTTACCTCATATATAGATAATCTACGATGCATTAACGATGCACCAAACAAGTGCAAAGAATCGTTCACGTCCATCAGTCATGGTCAATGAATAGCTGTTCTTCTTGAACTCCGCCATTGCTCAATGCACCAGGTGCCACAACGCTGCGCTTGTAACCACCATCATCGACATATAACCTCTCTCGCTCTTCGAGGTCTTTGCCCCAGAGACTACCGTCTGCTGGGTTGGCCTATTCGTTGACTGACAATAACCCTCCGTTGTTTTCGCCAACACCTGCCGTACTCCTGTTCCCGTTCCTCTTGCCTCCGCACTGCTCGCCAACGCACACAATCCACGTCCAGGCAATGTTGCAACGTTATCCATGGCGTCCCTTATAAGTGTATAATTGAACTCCTGGAACATCTGGTAACAACCCTGCTCGTAGCTATCGTAAAGGGCGTTCCATGTCTGCGCTGCAATTGTGCATGATGGCCGTTCTGTGCTGGAGGGCGCGTAGCATGCGCATAATGCTTGTTGGGACTTGAACAAGTTGAAGAATTGCGATGTCGCTGCGGAACAGGAGGAGAGAGTGGCGGCGTAAGAAGAACACGAAGCGAGAGAGGTGTGGGGAAGTGTTGATGTGGGTATTGGTGGTGGCGTTACTGGTGGTTATTGATCAGCCACAAGATCCTTGAGACGACCAAATATAGATTAGACAAAAGATCAGAACAATATGTGTACCTTGTGCAGCACCATCCGTTATTGTTTGTGCATTTGGCAAAAGTGCATCCACCATTGCACCAGCAAAGTCCACGCCATCGTCTATTTTCAATCGATCTTCTAGTCTCTGGACATTTGCTTGCACCAGAACTTCTTGCTGTTGTTGAGCAGGAGTTCCAACATATGGAGCATTGGGTCGCAGTGCTGGTATTATGGGAGCCGGAACGATCAAGGGTTTGGGTATAGACGGCGGTTCAGGAACATTTGGTCGTGGTGGCCTGATAATGATTGCGTTGCTTTGTGTGAGCAAGACCGCAAGGGGCAGAAACGAGGGTATTGAGATGAGCATATCCACATGTATATTTCGTCTCCTTCTGTACATCCAGATCAAGACGGTTCATAGGTACCAGGTACCAGAATCCTACAGCCCAGCGCCTACTCACAGCTCTTGTATGGAATAGGCATCCTCCAACGCATTAACACCTGCACCGCGCCGCACTGTGCCTCCCACAGATCTTCTCTAGCGCATGAGATAATCCTCAGATACGATCATGCGACTTGCTTTGCATAGCTCAGGCGTACCGTCGTACAGCCCCCAGGTATTTCGTGTCTTGTGTGTGAGACCAGGATATGAGGGAGCCGGCGCTTAATGAGACGTCAACAACATCGACGAGCCACGACGCTAAGCCCGGAAGCAGATGTGAAGTAATAGGCTCCAAGAAGGAAAGAACAGGCGAAGCGAGGCCGGGCGGCACACCTGCCCTCCCGAACCTGTGCCATCGACGGGCCGTTTTGCCAATTGCCAAGGACCGTCTTCTACACCACATCATAAAACTTCCCAGAAACAGTAACTCCCCAAGCGGACGCAAGCTAGCCGTTTGCAATTGCGTTCGCAGTATACTGCTATCAACCCTTATGCACAAGACTTTCCCGACGCGGCGAACAAGTACGGTGACGTA